TAAAACAAGCAGGAGTTAGCTCTGAGCTACTCCCTGATCCAACTCCCTAGGGGGAAAAAATCCTCTCCAACATTGTCTCCTATTGTACGTCTAGCATTGATTCTGGAACTGCATTACATTTCCATCTAGCATTTCAGCCTGGCCTTCTTGCTTCTGTTATCCACAGAAATGTCAGTGGATTGCATAGAGTGCTGGGAGAGAATTTGCTCAAGCACTGAAAGAGCTGAGTAAGAGGCGATAAAGAAAAGTAACAAGTCCATTTAAGAAAACGAGTGGCTCAAGGTGCCTGCTGACCAGGCCCATACAGCCATCTTTAACATCCCTGTGAGCGTTATCATAATTCAACCCTTTTCCACGGAATGCATCCGATGCAGTGAGCTGTAGCTCACGAAAGCTTATTCTCAAATAAATGAGTTAGTCTCCAAGGTGCCACAAGTCCTCCTGTTCTTTTTGCATAATTAAACCAGTGACTGTTAAATGAATGAATAGATCATGTGGGGGCCACACTGGGAAGCAGGCGGTAATTGCACTGTTCTTTGTAGAAACACCTGAATACTCAAAGGATTAACTCATTACAAAAAACACCGTTTGGAGATACTTTCATCTTGCCCTGTACCTGTGTCTAATGAACCTTGACGCACAGACCATGCTGAGAACAGAATCTAGCCTGGAAAAAACCCAACCCATATAGGATGGGACATATTTCTGCCTCTTGCTGCCTTTTTAATGAGGATATTGACTGGAGGTGATGGTGACATCTGAAATATGCCAATTTTATTTACTGTGTGGGAGACCTAAATAACCAGAGACTTATGGGAATTGGAACCCCTATTTTCCTATTTACCTGATAAACAACAAATTCATTTCCCCCAGAACTTGTTCTTGGGATCTGCCCAACCATTTTTGCTGAAACTTTCCAAAAGAATTCAGCCTGAGGCAGACACCCAACACGGAAAACGTAGCTTGAATGGTTAAAGTCTGGCCAAGTTATAGGCAACTGAAAAGGGGGTTTTATCATGGGAAGCATTAGGCATCATTTACTCTAGGCATTGCTGCATCATGTGCCACCTATAATTGATGGGTCTGCAGTCACAGCACCAAGGATAAAAATTACAAGGACCCCGTGTCCTCATGGCACAAGCTGATCGCCTGCTGGGAGCAGGAAGGAATGTGCCCGGTCCCTTTATGGTGTAGTACTTTTTCACCATAGGAGGGCAACAGGAACAAGTGGGTCTCAGTCCTCCTCCTTCACTTTCATCAGCCTCTTCTCCTTTTCCATGACTTGCTATGTCTCTCTGTCCCGGCTAGTGCAGAAGGGGAGCATGTGGTGCTGCTACCCATTGAGCCATCCTCCCTTCCACCCCAACGGAAACAAACTCAGGACTGTCTGACTGACACCTATTGTGAATGATTCTCTCTCCCCCTAGAGCTGAAGCAAATGGCTGTGGTGACAGCCCCATGGTGTAACTGCCCGCTGTTCACATGTTCTTCTGATTCTGATTGCCTTGTTTATGCCAGTGAGTGGGTAGCAGGTGTCAGAATCTTTTCATGCGCAGCCGTATCCTGTATGCAGGGCTTCTATGAATGCAGGGATTTGCATATTTCTGCCTCTTGCTTCCTTTTTAATAAGGATATTGAAGGGAGCAATAGATGGCAGATGGAACTGAGGTCTGGAATTCTGTGCAGCTATGCCATGTGCTGCCTTGAATATCTGAGCAATCACTTTTATTTCTGAGCAATCACTTTAAAGTTAACCATTTGCTTAATGGCAGGGAGAGTTGTCTGGTGGTTAAAGCATACGACTGGGAGCCAGGACTCCTGGGTTCTGTTCCTGGCATTGTCAGTGTGTGATAGTGGGCAAGTCACTTAAGGCCTGATTTTCCAAAATGTGCCCTAAATCTGGATGACTCCATTTTGGGCATTAAACTCAATGTCTCTGGAGCCCGATTTTCGAGGGGGACGAACATCGGCAACACCAACCCTCCTTGGCTGGTGGAGCTGGCCAGTGGCCCTGCTCCCCTAGCTCCTACACTTTTGTACAATGGAAGAAACCTTATATGAAGCATAACGACTTGGAAACACACATGTACATCTTCTCCATCTCTCACTCACTCACACACTTCTCCTCTCTGCCTCTCTCTCTCTCACACACACGCATTAATCTGCTGCATGCTGAGTCTGAACCGCTTCATGTGAAATGGAAAGAAAAACCCCTGGGAATTCCATCTCACCCTGCAGCTGTGAATGGAATAAGCCCCTGAGCACAGACTCAAGCCAATTTACACACTTAAGATACAAAACGGGGCTGCTGATTCCCAGGGAGTGTTCCCATCCATTAGTCACAGAGGCTTTCTCACCGCTGTATTTAGCATGGAATGCTCTCTGCTGCAGACACTCTGCCATACAACACACAAGCAGGCAGGGCCTGGCCTGCGTGGCCTAGTTACGAGTCACAGATTTGCCTTCCAACCATGCAAAGGGAGCTTATAAGATAGAGCAAGAGGGGAAGCACATGCAACTGGACTAAAGCAAGTGACTCGTAGCCAGGAATTCATCCAATGAATTTAGCCTCTTCTTCTGTTTGTGGATTGTCCTTAGGAGTTTGTTATTTTCTCAAAGCAGAGTCACTATCTCTGGATAGGTTTCAGAGTAACAGCCGTGTTAGTCTGTATTCGCAAAAAGAAAAGGAGTACTTGTGGCACCTTAGAGACTAACCAATTTATTTGAGCATAAGCTTTCGTGAGCTACAGCTCACTTCATCGGATGCATACTGTGTGCATCCGATGAAGTGAGCTGTAGCTCACGAAAGCTTACGCTCAAATAAATTGGTTAGTCTCTAAGGGGCCACAAGTACTCATTTTCTATCTCTGGATACTTTCTGGGAATCAGGGTTGGATCTGCCCCTCATTCCATTCGATATTCAATACTCAAGCTGTGTTGGTTAGTTTTGAATGGACTCAGACCTCAGGTCACATGGTGTTGTCCCTACCCTAAGTGGACAAGGTAACTCTCAGAGTCAGATTTCAAGTGTGGAGATTTACGTTTACAACTTTGAAATTCTTTCTGCATTTTTTCCTCCTATTCACTCAAAATTCCTTGCTTCTCTAAACGTTCCTGCCAGCAAACTGGCTGCTTAGGGAAGCCTGTTAAAGATATTTTGGTGCCTAAAGATGCAGAAAGGCACTTAGGTGAGATTCTCCAAAGCACCTATGCTCCATTAGGTATCTGTAGGCACCTAAATACCTTTAACAATCAGTCCCTGGTCTCTTTGTAGAAAGCGAACATATAAGGATCATGCACTCGGACGAAGCATATTAATTTTAAAACTGGAACAAATACCTGTGACCATTCCTGGGTAGTATTCCTCCCTATGATAATACCTTGACTAGACGTATCCTTTCCACATGCAGTGAGACAGCCACAGGCATGCCTATGGTGCAGTTCCCTCTCTGTCAAGCCAGCCTTGTTCCTACTGGAGTGAGAGCAGAGCAGCAGCACCATGAGGTTATTACTCATATTGGTTGAATATGGGGGTCGTATTTTGGCTGCAATGCTTAGGGAATCTACAGGATTCCATTACTCCACAGTGATATCCCACCAGCCGGAGAGCCAGGCAATACACACAGCCATCTAGATAGCTCACGAGCGCAACTCAGGCCACTGCAAGCTACAGACATGGAGACTATTCTGCCTCATAATGACTAGCAAGGAGCTGCTTTGCCGGAGGAAACTCAAACAAAGAGCACTTGTGATGGTAACTGTCCGGAAAGAGCCAGGGAACGCGGTGGGGCTCGGCAGGCTATTGGCACTGAGAATGGAGGGAAAACAGTAACAAGGAAAGCATGTGAACATATAACGGGATCAAGAAAGGCAATGAAGGGATGATTCCTTGTCATGTACTGAGGGGCAGAGCTGGGCTAGAGGGAAAGGTTGGAGTCCTAAGTAGGGTCAGTAGTTAGGTCAGATCAGCTTGCTGGATTATTTTTAGTTTCTGTCCTGTCTCCTGTGGATAATATCGGACAGTGAGCTTCTGCCCTCCCACATAGATACCTGCAGGAAGGGTACAAATCTAGCTCAAGAATTACTGCCCATTGTCCTGGGCCACCCCAAGGCTAGTTAGTGGGAAGGCACAGCTCCTCTTAGGAGATGCAGTGGGCTGGAAATGCTTAGTGTCTAGTGTGTGCTCACTAGCAGGCACACACATGCCCTGGTTTCATAAAAAGGGACACTTACCAGCGCAAAAGATACACGAGTCTGCACGCACGCACACACACACACACACAGACAACTGAGGCCACGTTACTGCCTGTCCCTGCTGCAGGAGCACTCAAGAATAAAAATCCAAACAAGTCTCCTCAGCACCCACAAGCCAGAGACTCCATTAGCTAAACGCATGCAAGGGCCAGCCCTGTCTACTCCCCGGCACCTCTGTGCTTTCCAGACCCATGCAGGTACTAGGGCACGTTGCTGTGACTTTTACAAGCCGCTGTTTTTTCTTACCAGGGTACCATGCAGCCCACAGGTTTTGCTGCATCCATCCAGCCCGTGCGCTACGGTCAGTTCAGCCCAGCAATAGCCTGTTTTTCACATTGTGACAAGGCTGCAGCCACCTCCGACTTCCTGCTTGTTCCTGTGTTGTACTCACCCCACCACCTCTCAGAATTCCACGGGGACAGCAGGGACAGAACTCGGAGCTCTCTGCTCCAAACACACAGCTCCTGCCTCTTGGGCTCAGTTAGAATCCGCATGGGCTACTAGCAGTATAGGGCCTATGACATACAGCTGAAGAGTTTCAGTTCCATCCACTAGCGGGCAGTGGTGCACATACACACTAGCCAGTTAATTACATTATCATTAACACACTCATGCGAGGGCTGACATTCCCACCAAGGATCTGAGGGCACAAAAGCACTCATTACAAAGACCCAGGTTTCACTGCGGCAATATGTTCTCTCCTCCCCACACTGTGGGTCCTAGATTTTGTAAGGCCCCATCCTTACCAGTTTGGTTTTGTCCATGGCAGCTAGGACAGCAGTGTTCAGGGCTTCCAGAGCAGAAAGCACATGTCTGTATTCTCCCAGGTGTTCCGAGAAATAATCTGGAGTGGGACAGACAATCAAGATTAGATTTCAAAGCAATTCCGTCAAGGCCTGTCTCCATCCTGCTATTTCCTAGGAAACCTGCTGCCGGGATGTTATTTTGTCCTGTGCCCTCACCTGGAATGGCAGCTGAGGATCATTTTCTACACAGCAGGCATTTGCAGTGCCAGACATAATGAAACAAGATCAAAACTGCTGTCTGCTAACTCATGTTAATCGCATTGAAATCAGCGCAATGACTCCAGATTGACACCCATGTAATAAAGCAAAACGCCCTTTCCTTCCCAGGGATCAAAATGTCCCACCCAGGGGCAAACTCCATGCTTTCCAACTTGCAGAGTTCCTGCAACATCATCCTGTCACAACTGGATGAGATGCACAAATAGGAATGGCCAGACTGGCTCAGACCCGAGTGTCCTGTCTCTGCCAGTGATCCTTCAAAGCAAGAAACCTGGGCAATTCTGAAACAATCTTCCCGGACTAATTCATTTAGAAGTACCGAACTGGCGGCCCTACTTACCACACAACTTCTCTGTCTCTAAGTTGCTGCAAGAAACAGAAAAACAAACTCTGGTTAGAGGATGGGTCAGGTCTCAAGAGAAACAGCTGCTGCAAAGGGCCAACTGAGAACTGCGGACGCGAGGCCCTAATGAACTCTCTAGTTCACATGCTGTTCATCAGCATGTTTTTAAAAGCTCTACTTAAAAAACAGATGAGTTATACAAGGGTTCAGCAGGGGCCTGATTCTGAGAGTGGTTCGACCCCTGCTGCTCCCAGCTACCTCCAAGGCAGCAGCAGGAGCTCAGGAGCCATGGATCAGGTTGCAATGTGTTAACTTTGTCCTGGTTTTCTATGCAAGCCAATCGCTCTGGTTCTCAGGGTGAAATTTCGAATGGTAACCAGGAGGTGGCGGGTTCAAAGGGCCAGGTTCTAACGTCTCCCACGGCAATTCCCCCACTGGCAATTCCCCCACTCACGTACTAGCTCTCTTACTAGTAGTTACGCTGACAGACTCTAGTCGGCAGCCAGAATCAAACCTGGGACCTCTGGAGCTTAATGCGTCATGAGCTAAAAGACACATCTCGCTTAGCCAGGGCTGTAGCAGGCTCATCATGCTTTAGGTGGCCTAGCTGCCACTAGAGGGGGACAGCACACCACACCGAAGAGGCAGAGGTTACAGGGCTGAGCTGTGCTGAGTACAAACCTGCTTGAATCACGCCCCAGCATGTAATGTACACATAGCTTGTCGGAGCCTCACCTGCTCACCTGCGCTGCTGGCCCCTCCCGGCCCCTTGCTGCCGAGGATAGCATCTCTCAGGTTCTAGTATCCTCTTTCACCCTGTGTTCAGCCTGGGAGGAATACACTTCACTAGCCTAGCTGGAGACAGGCAGGAGGTATTCCCCAATTAACAGCTTCCCCACTGTTTCCCCAAGAGCCCTTGGCATGCGTCTTCTCTTTGCCATTCCCTGCTGGTGTCCCAATTACCACCCCCTTTGATTTCACCCTGTGCAGCAGGCAGGGTGATACCATGCAGCGCATGGAGGTACACACGGCATTTATAACAAAATCTTACCGCTATTTAACTCTTTGCCTATGGGGAGACAGGAGCTCATGGCCAGCCTGGGTCCCCCCATTCTGGCCCCTTCATCTCCCAGGCAGATAATGCCTCCTCCCTCCCATCTCTTCCCCTCCTCTCCTCTCCTCTGTCCTCCGCAGAGGAAACATGCTGGCGGGGCGCTAGCAGGGAAGCACTGAGAGCAGAGAGGTGACAGTCAACCCACTGCCTACCCTCAGTGCCAGTGATACAGGGAGGAGTCACTGCAGAGGAAAATCCTGCTCGGTCCTGCATGCATGAAAGAGTCAGTAGTTGGAGCTGGAATAGGGGAATGTGGCAGGGAATCCAAGGCAACCACTGATATTTTCTTATTTTCAATATTGCCAATAAATAAAACTAAGGCAAGAGCTTCTGTCCCCAGCCAGGCACTGTCCAGACCACTGCGGGGGTGGGAGGGCAGACCCCATAGTTTGTGAGAAACAACTGTAAAGAGGATCTAGAACCTGGGGGAAAGGTTCTAAAGTGGTACTGTGCACCCGTGTGTTGGCACATGCGTGTGTGTCTGTGTCTGAGTTGCAGGGAAAGAAAGGCACCTCCTTTTTCTGCTGTCCATAAATGAGTGTCTTCTTTGTCCTATTTTGAATCTAGAGTAAATTTATGCTAAGAGGCCTCTCCAGACCAAACCAACGGAAATGCAAAGCTGAGTGAAATGCGCCATTAAAAAAATTAGATTAGTGGAAATAATGAGACAAACACAGACTGGTTGGTTATATTTTCTGAGAATTAATTTCATGTCAGAATTCCTCTGCTGATTGCTGACTTACGTGGTTTGTTTAAAGAGAGAGACAGTCAGGCGGTAATATTGCCATCAGATTGCTTTTAGCAGCTACTGTTGTGAGGCTAAACAAATAAAACAATAACACTTTACTTTCTTCATCTCGTGGTGTAGGACGTTTTCCAAAGGATCCCAAAGTACTTTGCAAACTATTATACACAGGGCTGGTATAATCTTGTTATTAAGATTGCCCAACACTACCCATTATAAGGCCCAGTTTTCAGCTGCATGTAATTTTGCCAAATTTTAACCATTTGGGCTGAACTATGTTGAGAAATTTCAGCTAAAATGATTCAGCCGTTTCTGAGAACAAGGCTAGGGGAAAACGCAGCTATGTTGGGGGTTGGGCGAAGCCTCGTTGAAGCTAATGGATGTAATGGTTGCCCTTCATTAAGGGCAAATATGAAAAGCAACTGAGCGCCTTTATGGAATAAACGGCTGAAACAGTAGCATCTATTTCCAAAATACAGGCCACATGCAAGGCTGGAGTAGGAGCTGAATCATGCAATCTGAGGAGGTTTTCCCTGGGGTCTGAATGCAAATGCAGGGGCTGGGTATAGAAACACTACAGAAAGATACAGAGAAGGTAGAAAAAAGATGAGGACAATCAAAGACAGACTTGTAGCATGACCCTGAGGAAAAGCTAAGAAAGAAATCTTTTGGGCAGAGTGCTGGCTGGAGAGAGGCTTGGAACTGTGAGTAAAGAAACTGTCTCCTGGGAATCCTTGATTCCCACTGTGTTCAGGGAAATAGGACTTTATATACATTCTTTGTAATTAAACACAAAGAAACACTTGATTCCATAAATTTCTCCTCTGAATGGAAACAACCTGCAAGATCCTGAATTTTGGTTAACAAACTCCAGTCAAAAGGGGAAACAATACGCTGTTTTGCACATGTTAAAAAGTTCTGGTGACATTTTCTTTGAGGAGATGTAATGCCCCCATGCTTTGGAGCAGGGACTTGAAATTTGACAGGGGCATGGCCTTTGTATGAGAGATATTTCTTTTGCCATCCTTGTCCGTAAAAATTCCCAAATATGACCAAAGTATATGCCTTAAAAAAATTGCAGTTCATAGAATCATAGAATCATAGAATATAAGGGTTGGAAGGGACCCCAGAAGGTCATCTAGTCCAACCCCCTGCTCGAAGCAGGACCAATTCCCAGTTAAATCATCCCAGCCAGGGCTTTGTCAAGCCTGACCTTAAAAACCTCTAAGGAAGGAGATTCTACCACCTCCCTAGGTAACGCATTCCAGTGTTTCACCACCCTCTTAGTGAAAAAGTTTTTCCTAATATCCAATCTAAACCTCCCCCACTGCAGCTTGAGACCATTACTCCTAGTTCTGTCATCTGATACCATTGAGAACAGTCTAGAGCCATCCTCTTTGGAACCCCCTTTCAGGTAGTTGAAAGCAGCTATCAAATCCCCCCTCACTCTTCTCTTCTGCAGGCTAAACAATCCCAGCTCCCTCAGCCTCTCCTCATAACTCATGTGTTCCAGACCCCTAATCATTTTTGTTGCCCTTCGCTGGACTCTCTCCAATTTATCCACATCCTTCTTGAAGTGTGGGGCCCAAAACTGGACACAGTACTCCAGATGAGGCCTCACCAATGTCGAATAGAGGGGAACGATCACGTCCCTCGATCTGCTCGCTATGCCCCTACTTATACATCCCAAAATGCCATTGGCCTTCTTGGCAACAAGGGCACACTGCTGACTCATATCCAGCTTCTCGTCCACTGTCACCCCTAGGTCCTTTTCCGCAGAACTGCTGCCTAGCCATTCGGTCCCTAGTCTGTAGCTGTGCATTGGGTTCTTCCGTCCTAAGTGCAGGACCCTGCACTTATCCTTATTGAACCTCATCAGATTTCTTTTGGCCCAATCCTCCAATTTGTCTAGGTCCTTCTGTATCCTATCCCTCCCCTCCAGCGTATCTACCACTCCTCCCAGTTTAGTATCATCCGCAAATTTGCTGAGAGTGCAATCCACACCATCCTCCAGATCATTTATGAAGATATTGAACAAAACCGGCCCCAGGACCGACCCTTGGGGCACTCCACTTGATACCGGCTGCCAACTAGACATGGAGCCATTGATAACTACCCGTTGAGCCCGACAATCTAGCCAGCTTTCTACCCACCTTGTAGTGCATTCATCCAGCCCATACTTCCTTAACTTGCTGACAAGAATACTGTGGGAGACCGTGTCAAAAGCTTTGCTAAAGTCAAGAAACAATACATCCACTGCTTTCCCTTCATCCACAGAACCAGTAATCTCATCATAGAAGGCGATTAGATTAGTCAGGCATGACCTTCCCTTGGTGAATCCATGCTGGCTGTTCCTGATCACTTTCCTCTCATGCAAGTGCTTCAGGATTGATTCTTTGAGGACCTGCTCCATGATTTTTCCAGGGACTGAAGTGAGGCTGACTGGCCTGTAGTTCCCAGGATCCTCCTTCTTCCCTTTTTTAAAGATTGGCACTACATTAGCCTTTTTCCAGTCATCCGGGACTTCCCCGGTTCGCCACGAGTTTTCAAAGATAATGGCCAATGGCTCTGCAATCACAGCCGCCAGTTCCTTCAGCACTCTCGGATGCAACTCGTCCGGACCCATGGACTTGTGCACGTCCAGCTTTTCTAAATAGTCCCTAACCACCTCTATCTCCACAGAGGGCTGTCCATCTCTTCCCCATTTTGCGATGCCCAGCGTAGCAGTCTGGGAGCTAACCTTGTTAGTGAAAACAGAGGCAAAAAAAGCATTGAGTACATTAGCTTTTTCCACATCCTCTGTCACTAGTTTGCCTCCCTCATTCAGTAAGGGGCCCACACATTCCTTGGCTTTCTTCTTGTTGCCAACATACCTGAAGAAACCCTTCTTGTTACTCTTGACATCTCTGGCTAGCTGCAGCTCCAGGTGCGATTTGGCCCTCCTGATAACATTCCTACATGCCCGAGCAATATTTTTATACTCTTCCCTGGTCATATGTCCAACCTTCCACTTCTTGTAAGCTTCTTTTTTATGTTTAAGATCCGCTAAGATTTCACCATTAAGCCAAGCTGGTCGCCTGCCATATTTACTATTCTTTCGACTCATCGGGATGGTTTGTCCCTGTAACCTCAACAGGGATTCCTTGAAATACAGCCAGCTCTCC